TTGTTATGTGCCGTTGAGTCAGACCTGACTCACAGCGACCCCTCCTTGGGTTGCCAAGGCAGTATCACTATGGAAGTAGATTGCCCCATCTTCCTTCTGAGGAGTGGATTAGATGATTAAAAAAAAAAAAGAAAAAAAAAAATTGTCATCAAGTCAGTCTGGCTCATAGTGATCCTAAAAGACAGAGTGGAACTGCCCCAAGATTGTAATCTTTATGGAAGCAGACTGCCACATCTTTCTGCCACAGAATGGCTAGTGACTTTATACTGCCAACGGGGGTGGTTAGAAACTTTAGTGTTAACCACTTCAGCACTAGGACTCTTTAGATTACATGATACTAAACCAAAAACCTACTGCCATCCAGTAAATTCCAACTCAGAGCGACCCTTTAGAACAGAGTAAAAGTGCCCCCATGGATTTTCCAAGGCTGAAATCTTTGCAGAAGCTGACTGCCTCCTCTTTCTCCTGAGGAGCAGCTGCTGGGTTGAAACCTCTGGCCTTGTGGTTAGCAGCTAACTCTTTTAACTACTATGCCTCTGCCCAGCTCCTAGATTAGGTGATGTTGTTGTTGTTGTTATGTGCCGATGAGTCAGACCCGACTCATAGTGACCTCTTCTTGGGTTTCCAAGGCAGTATAATTACGGAAGTAGATTGCCTCATCTTCCTTCTGAGGAGTGGCTGGTGGGTTTGAACCTCCAGCCTTCTGGTTAGCAGTCAAGTGCCATAGGCACTAAGCTACCAGAGCTCCTAGATTAGGTGATGAGGCCAATTCCAAAAGTCCACATGATTTACTGTATATGTGCAATAGCAATCCAAACAATAAAATATGTTGTGAAACTATCCTATGGAAGGAAAATTGCTAGATAGGTTTTATGTATGTGTGTGTATATATATATATATATATATATATATATATATATATATATATATATAAATTATTAGTTGTTATTAAAAGAAAGAAAATAACCATGCCTCAAATTAAAAAATAAGTCATTCCAGTTCTATACTATTTGATCTATCTCAAGTAACTGTAGTTAGCTTCCTAGGTCATATTATTGTTTCATTGTTTAATTCCAAATCAAATTTAATTCCAAATCAAATTCACTGCTGTCGAGTCGGATCTGACTCATAGCAACCCCTCCTTGGGTTTCCAAGGCAATATCACTCCTTTCAAGGAGTGGCTGGTGGGTTTGAACCGCCAACCTTCTGGTTAGTAGTCAAATGCCTTAGGCACTAGATGTATACAAATATAAGTGGTATATTTCCTTTTTTGACTGGTCATAGTATTACTTCATCCAAGTTTGTTCCACCTTCTGAGAATTTAAGGAAGGTGGAAGCTCTTAATTTATTTTGATACAATTTAGGAATATCATGATGTGAACCAAAAACCTTTGCAAAGTTTTAAAACTTGGTAAGTAAGCAGTTATTCTTTTTTAAGAAGGCATAAGTAACTATGTGCCATGAAATAAGCCCAAAATGTCTGATATTATTGTGCTTGTATCTTTGTGTGGGTTACAAAGTTCTGCTTGTGTAAAAATAGGAACGATATTAGATAAATGAAGTGGTAGCTACCCTTTAATTTCTTAAATAGTCAATACATTTTCCAGTTTCTCTGCGTACACACTTTTTCCTTTCACAAAAAATCATTTGGAAAAGTGAACAGGGAGGTGGCATAAGGACAGTAAAGAAAGAATAGTGCATTCACCTTTCCCTTTTTGGAAAAGAACTACAATATAAGCCACAGGACATATTTTCTATGGCATGTATCTGCAAGAGGCAGTCCTGCCCATTCTTTGATGATGCTGTTCAGTTCACTTTGTTCTTGTAAACTTTGGCATGAAGCACATTGAGAAAGCTTACGTTATTGTCAGACTTGCAGAGGTGTTATTGCATTTACCTTCCTCCTTCTAACTTGTGTTGCTGTGGAAACTGTACTTGAGTTTTGTTTACAGTTGTCTGGCTCTCCAGAAATATATGTTGAATAAATGTGTTGATAATGGGCATGAAAAGCAAAGGATGGAAATTAACAAACAGGTACATGATTGTTGTCAGAAATTTCACAGCAAATTATTGAGATGTGTTTCAA